CATCGGAGGTTGGACGGACCTCCTGCCCCGACGCGTCGATTCAGGAATTGGCCGTTGTCGGTTCGCGAGAGGGCGTCGCGGCCGTCAGTGTCGCGGGTCCAGGTCCGTCGGTCTCGGTCCCAGGCCGTTTTCTTGAAAGGGAGGTTTACTAAAGGGAGGCTGATCCACCGCCGAGGGCACGAGCACGCACACGCAAAAACAGAAGCACGAGCACACGTGCGCGTGCACACCACGCAGCGTCTTGCCAAACTGCAGCTGCACGACTACACGAAACGTTGCATGACGACCAAAAGGCAAACGACACCACCCCACCTGCGGCCCTCCATGTTGCCCTACGGCCCATCGGGTTCCGTAGCGGACTTCCGTAGCGGTCGCCGCGCAACAGCCAGCGCCAGATCTCTTAGTATATGCTAACTAAGCCCCCTGGGGCCGTAGGTGGGGTGGTGTCGTCTGTTTTCGTGTCCAGTCTGAGTGCACGTAGCACACACCCACCCCGGCCCGACCCCATGCTGGACCCAAATCTCAAATCTAGATATACGACCACCCTTCGGGTGATAAGGAGGTTGTGGGGGGGGAGAGGGGGGGGACCAACATCTGACTCAATCGATCTCACTATCGATCTCACTCCACGGGACACCACCAGTCACCACGGGACACTTGTCGATCTCACTATCGATCTCACGCAACGTGACACCACGGGTGACCACGGGACACCACGGGACACCGCGGGACACCTCTCGATCTCATTATCGGTCTCACTATCGATCTCACTATCGATCTCCCTCGACGGGACACCACGGGACACCTCGGGGCACCACGTCGATCTCAGTATCGATCTCACTATCGATCTCAGTATCGATCTCACTCAACGGGACCCCACGGGACATTTGTCGATCTCACGATCGATCTCATTATCGATCTGACTTTTTGGGACACCACAGGACACCACGGGATACCTCGGGGCAGCACGCCGATCTCATTATCGGTCTCATCATCGATCTCACTCAACGGGACACCGCGTGACACCAAGGGACACCACGGGACACTTGTCGATCTGACTATCGAGCTCACTATTGATCTCACTATCGATCCCTCTATCGATCTCACTATCGATCTCACTCAACGGGACACCACGGGACACCACGGGACACCGCGGGACACCACGGGACACCGCGGGACACCGGTAGGGCCTCCGCCAGATGGACGGACGGATGGACGGACGGACGGACGGACGGGGGAGCAACATTTGTCTTGACCTCGCCCTAGCAACGGCGGACACCACGGGACACCACGGGACATCACGGGACACCGCGGGACACCGCTAGGGCCACCGCCGGACGGACGGACGGACGGGGGAGCAACATTTGTCTTGACTTCGTCCTAGCAACGGCGGGTTCATTCCTCGCGCGCCCACGCAGCTTCGCCTGGCCCGCACGCACGACATGAACGAAACGAAACGATTTCCCGGTTGGGGGTCTCCGTTCCACTGAGATCTCACCCCTCAATCTCCGATAATGTGCATCGCGGACGTCTCATGCAGCAGGCACGCCTGAATGCACGGACATACCGCAGGAGGGGGAAAAACACACAGACACACATTAATCGCTGATTCCAAGGAACATATGGGAAAATATGGGAGCTGGGGGGGAAGACGAAAACCCATAACATATAGGAAGAGATGGTGAATCCTGGGATTTGTGTGTATTCATTCGTGTGTCCCTGGGCCCCTTTAAATTACATGGGTCCAAATGTCAAATATATAATGTGAACAGCGAACGTCACATGCAGCTGGCACGCCTGAATGCACGGACATACTTGCCTCGTCGGCTCGAGCCAATTTAGGTTGAGCGTGCCTTGACCCAAGGCTTTGCTCTTGCCGTCCTCGAGGCTCTTGACACCCGCCAGCCATGTCGGCGGCAAAGTTCCTCTACGTCATTCTGGCCGCAATGACTGCTGTCATGATTTCCGTGCTGACTGGCTGTGGCGATGATGAGGTTTCGAAGCCCATCTGCGCCGACTACAGCAAGAACGGCGCCACGGGCCCAACGGATCAGGCCAGCTGCCAGGCTGCATGCCAGACAGGAGAAGGTCTTGAAGTGGGTGATTGGAACGGCCCTGGCACTTGCAGCTGCAAGGCGTCCGCCTCTTCGTCGTCATCAAGCACAATCTGTCAGCCAGCATCATGATTGGCATCAACTGCATGGGTCGAGACACGGCAAGCCCGGTCGCACGAGCTTGCTGGAGATTGCGAACGTGTTTTCGTTGTTGCTCGTGTGCAGCCCTTGCGTATCATAGGCATGTGTTATTCGTCTTTCGCCGTACATCAAGCCGCAGTCAAAATTATTCACACTCCGCGCAACCCCAACGGCCCGTTCAGAAACCTTGCCCACTAGAGCTGACGGGAAATTGGACGCACACATATACATATATACATATGTATGTATGTATGTATGTGTATATATATAGATGTATGTGTGTATATATAATGTATCTAGTGAGAGAATGCGGCAACGAGGATGATCATACAGCTCTCTGGGAAAAGGGCTTAGCCTTGGAGGCCCTCTTCGGGCCATCCATTCGGCTCGCCGGGGGGCGAGGGGAGGAGGAGGAGGAGAAGGAGGAGGAGAAGAAGAAGGAGGAGGACGAGGAGGAGGAGGAGGAGGAGGAGGAAGCAAACCGCATTTTGGGGCCCTCGTGGGACGCTCTTCGGGCGCTCTTGGGGCCGTTTTGGGTCGTCTTGGGGCCATCTTGGGCCCCTCCTTGGGCCCTCTTGTGGCGCTCTTGGGGCCCTGTTGGCAGCCCTGGATGGCTTCCTGAGGTCATCTTGGAGGCCATCGATCAAAGTGGGGGTCACCGATTTCCGCCCTCCCACCCAAGAGCCTTCGAAATCGCCTCGTAGGGCACTCTAGGGGCACTCTAGGGGCCCTCTGGGGGCCTCTTGGGCCATTCTTAGGGGCGCTCTCGGGCCATCTTGGGGTAACCTTGATGCACCAAAAACGTACTAGACGCGACAAGACGGGGAAGGCACAAGTCCATGATTTTCCGTAGGTGTCTGAAGGATTTTGACCTCTTGGGGGGGTGTTTTAGGGGGCTCCGAGATCTCTGAGAACCGTCTTGTGGCCCTCGTCGGGCCTTTTGCTTGAACCATTTTCGGCTACCTTGAGCCGTTTGGGAGACCATCTTGGAGCATCGGAGGTCTTCTTGGAGCCATCTTCAGCGACTATGGACTCCCTGCCACTCTCGCGGACCCCGCCAAAAACATCAGGGAGGGGAGGGGGAGGGCGCCCCTTCCCGAAGGAACGTTTTTTTTTTTTTTTTTTTTTTTTTTTTTTTTTTTTTTTTTTTTTTTTTTTTTTCGAAAAAGACAAAGAACCTTTTCGACAGCCTTAGCCCGAATGGTTGGTGGGATTACTAGGCTAGGCCCTGTTGAATTTGCGTTCGTTGGATGTTTTGGGCCACGCAGCATCAAGAACTGCACGCAAACTGTTTTTTATAATTCTTGTTTTGCCGATGGGCGCGGGCCTTGCCCCCCCCCTCCCGCCCCCCGCAGACACGATCGTGGCTGCTTTTGGAGGCTGTTTCTGGCGACTGGTCAGGACCCCCCCCTCCCCAGTCTGCGTACGCGACTGGTGAAAGCAGATCGCCCATGCACCAGCCCAGACCCAGATCCCCGTCACCCTTCGGCCAAATGTCGAAAACCAGAATTTGCAACATGCTGATAGCATGCACCCAATACTTCCCAAACAAAATGCATGCGGCACAACAGCTAAACCAGCAGTCAGTGTCCTTTCTGGTGTGGATGCCTGCTTTTAAAAAGCAGTCTCGAGCAGCAGACAGCATTCTCTTCGGCGCTGGCACCCAATTCGCATCGAGCAGACATGTCTCTGCGATGCACCGCTGCAGTGTGATACTTCACTTCGTCAAGGATGGCCTGATGCAGGGCGAGTCTTTGCTGATGCGAGTTGTGTGGCATGCTACGGTGTCAGGGCGTAGAGAGTTCTCACTCCACGACGTAAGTCCGAGGAGCATTGATCCTGACATCGGCCTTCATGGCCAGAGCTTGAGGCGCTCATTCTGTACCGAGGCGAGCCGCGGTGGCCGCCAAACCCGTCGCCTCCCGAACTGTAGAAGCCCGCCACGCCGCTCCAGCACGGCAGGCTGGCGCGCCGCGTCGGCGCGGCGAGGCGACGCCAGTGCGGGCGTTCGGCATTGGAAGCTGCTGGCGGCCCGGACCTGGCTGGCATCGAACGCTGCGCCATCGACAAGCCGCGATCCTTCAAGGCTGAACGGTCTACGCGTTGGGGCGTTCAGCGCTGAAAGCTGCTGTCGGCCTGGAACGGGCCGGCATCGAACGCTTTGCGCCATGGAGAAGTCGCGATCTTTCAAGGCTGAGCGGTCCACGGCGTTGCCAGAAGTCCACGCCGACGTCGTCGCTGCGTGAGCCTGCCGTGTGCGCGGGGCCGCGTGCCTCCGCAGCGCGGCGTTCTCCTCCTCCTCCTTCTCCTCCTCCTTCTCCTCGTACTCCTCCTCCTCCTCCTCCTCCTCGTCCTCCTCCTCCTCCTCCTCCTCCTCCTCCTCCTCCTCCTCCCCCCTAATCCTCCTCCCTGGTCGGGGGGCTGCCAGAGAGGGTCGCCTCACTCCTCCCTTCCCTCCCTCTCCTCCCGCCTTACGACGTTGCATCTTCGAGGGACCTCGTCTGTCCCCACAGCTGGTATCTTTTCTCGTACCCGACGCGGAGTTGGCGTGGATCCGACGCGGATCCGACACGGATTCGACACGGATCCGACGAGTCCGACGTGGATTCGGCACGGAGTCGACGCAGATAGGGCCGCAACGGGGCAGGCAAAGGTCCCCCGAGGATGCGACGTAAACCTGAATCTCGGACTCTGGCCCAACGTCCTCGGCAAAGCTGAGCAGGCCCAGAGAAGCAAGCACCGTCAGCAGGTGCAGGCGGACCTTTCTACGCACATCGCTACACGATCGGGGAGAGACTTCAGAGACTCCCTCCCCTCCCTACCTGACCCCCCTGATTCGCCCTCCTCCCTCCCCTCCCTCCCCTTCTCGCCCCTCCTCCCCAAATTCACATTATGAATACTACTCTCCTCTCTGCCCTGATGACGTCTGGAAGCTGTCTGGCCCCCCATCCACGTATTGTGTTGTTATACAGGGTTCCCGGGAGTTGGGTTTTCGCTTGGTTTTGTTCTTGAATGTTGCTCCCGCTGCAGCGTTGGCCTCATTTTCGGGCTTCCGCTCGATCGTGCTTCCGCTGCAGCGTTGGCCTCATTTCCGCGCTTCCGCTCGTTCCGAATCGTGCTCCCGCAGCAGCGTTGGCCTCATTCTGCGCTTCCGCTCGTTCCGAATCGTGCTCGTGCTCCCGCTGCGCTGCAGCGCTTGCGTCATTATTTCCAGGGCCATGCCACGCCATGCAATGCAATGCTATGTGGTGGTCCACCGTGTGATGCCATGCCCCAGAATCTACAACATGCTGCCCGGAAAAAAAAACATAGGAAGTGATTCCACATTCGGTGCCGATCCGTTTATTCTGGGGGTCGCAGAAGCCTCCCCCCACGTTGGGGCGTCGTCGTTGTCAGGAAGTATCAACCGGGAGCCCCGCTTCTGCTTTGAGAAGGCGATGTTGAAGGCAGAGCCAGCGGGTGCTCTCCATCAGCCCCGCCTTCTGTGGAGGTGTTCGGGGAGCCGAAGGAGCTAGGCATGGAGCCACGTCTCCAGACGGGCCCAGGCCTCTCCACGTACCCTCCAAGGAACCCGGCGCCATGCCATGACATGCCGTGCGGTGTTGTGTGTGCGTGTCGTTGTGCGATGCCAATGTTTGCTTTACAATGCTTTGCGATGCAATTCTTCACTACGCCACGCCACGCCATGCTATGGCATGCTTCGCTCTGCCGTGCTCTTCTACGCCCTGCTGCGCCGTGCTCTACGATGCCTCGCGCAACCTGTCGCGACCATTGCCCTGCTCGACGTCCGATTGTGTGCAAAGAGGAGGTCTACGCCAGGTAAGGGATGGGAGGGAGGGGTAGGACGTCAATTATGACGCGAGCGCACCTGGTTGGCCTCCCCTCCCCTACCCTCCCTCCCTCGCCTCACTCCTCCCCTCCCCGCCCCTCCCCTCCCCCCCCCCCCTCCCCTCCCCTCCCTCCCCTCCCTCCCTCGCCCTCCCCTCCCCTCCCCCTCCCCATCCCTCCCTTCCCCTCGCCCTCCCTCCCCTCCCTCCCCTCCCTTCCCCTCCCTTCCCTCCCCCTCCCCCCCCCTCCCCTCCCCCGCCCCTCCCCTCCCCCCTCCCCTCCCCTGCGCCCTCCCCCTGCCCTCCCCTCCCCCCCCCCCCCCACCCCTCCCTCCCCCCCCCCTCCCCGCCCCCCTCCTCCCCCCTCCCCTCCCCCTCCCCCTCCTCCCCCCCCCTCCCCCCCCCCCCCTCCCCCGCGCCCTCCCCGCGGGCCCAGCGAGGGTTCGCTGCGCCGGGCCCGCCCAAGCCTCCAGAGACCCCCCCCCGGATAGTTTTTCGCAAAAAAAAAATAAAAAATGAAAAATTCTTCTTATTTTCTCCATCTTCTTCTTCTTATTCTTCTTCTTCTTCTCCTTATTATTATTATTATTATTATTATTTATTACTATTATTATTATCATCATTATTATTATTATTATTATATATATATATTATTAAGCAATATCACTTCTCTCTCTCTCTCTTTCACTCTTTCTCTCTCTCTCTCTCTCTTTCTCTTTCTATCGATCGATCCCTCCTCTCTCCCCCTTATGTTTGTAGTGTGTGTGTGTGCGTGTGTGTGTTCAGTCTCTTTGTTCCTTTCTTTTTTTAAGTGTGTTGTTTGGGGGGTCCCTCTCGTTTTTGATTTATCTCTCTCTCTTTCTCTTGTTTTTTCTCTCTGTCTCTCCCGCTCTCTCTATATTTCTCTCTTTCTCGCTCTCTCTCTCTCGCTCTCTCTTTCTCTCTCTCTCTCTCTATATATATATATAATATCCCGTAAAAGCATTCATATACAGCCAAATTTGAAAATGGTTGGTTCCTTTTCACTCTCTACATGTAGTGTTCGTGTGTCCTCTATATTTGTATATATATATATGTATACAGTAAATATGTTATGGGCGGTCCCCCAGATCCGTGCTTTCACTTTCGCAAAGCGGAAGGACCATTCTCGCCAACGCTCCCGCCACCCACTCATCAGGATCCAAGCCATACCCGTCGTATTCAATTTTCAAGCACGCCAGCCCCGCGACAGAACAGCAACGACTCGGTCAATAGTAATTTGTTCAAGCGGTTGCACTGGCCCGCCGACTGAGCCAGCAATACCGACCAAACGATCTAGAGCAACCGCTGTGGCCAGTACCACGTTCGATCGTCGGCTCTAGCTTCTTGGCGTGCTTGGCACGGGCGGCGTCCAGCCGCGGAGCGAAATTCGTGATGACAGATACACCGGGCTCCCATGGGAGATCGGCTTGTGCCGTGGTCAACCCAGCGACGGGCCCAAGTAGGAGTTGCACTTGCGAAGCAGGCGGTTTGTGGTCTCTTCCAGAACCAGAACCAAATACCAGGTGGCTCTGATGCGGGAGGATAATCTTAAGGCAGTTGTTCGCGCTGCACCTGTAGCACCAAGTGCCACTGCCTGAACGCTTCCGCGATTTACCAACACTGTACTTTCCACAGTGCGGACAAAACTGCAGAGTCTAATCGTCCTAGAAGCCGCCCTGGGTCAAGTTCTTAATGAGCTGGTGCTCCGTCGTGGAATCGGCTTTCATCGAGTCCCTTGACCAGGTCTGCCTGCCGCGTTTGACGTGCTGTTTGATGTCGTACCTGACGTACGGGGTCTTTTTCCACTGCGCAGATACTCACTTCCTGTCAAGCTTCTCAGGCGTCGCAATCACGCGCTGTTTCCTTCGCCCAGGCGCGGGAAAACAAGCCGCAGACCGCGTTGTTATGCTCTTCATCAGTCTGTTCTACGCGGCCTTCCTCTTGTTGGTTGTTGCGCCGCAGAAAGAATCATCTGGTCCGCCCAGCTCGCCGACGCCTTCTGCCGCGTCGTCGGCGCCCTCAAAGCCGCAGGGAGAGTCGCCGCATCCAGTAACCATCAATATCTTCTGTATCCCAGACCCTGCGTCTGCGATGATTTGCTCAGCATTCGCCACCGTAGTCAGCTCTGGCTTGCCGTCGGCGAGGAAAATTGGATTCCAGGGTGACAGTAGGATTCCCTGTTTGTGGAGGATTGCAAATGGATTCTTTTAGTGGAGGGTTCCATGTGTTTTTCTTTGTGGAGAATCACAACGGATTCCTTTTGTTGAGGTTTGCAGTAGCATTCCCTTCGCGGAAGGGTGCAATTGTATTCTCCTTGTGGGGGAATGCACTAGGGTTCTTTTGTGGCGGATTACAAGAGGACTCCTTGTGCGAAGGATTGCAGAAGGATTCCTGCTGTGGCGGGTTTCAATCGGTTTCCTGTTGTAGCGGATAAGGAGACACTTTTTGCTTGCGGAAGGTTCCAAACGTATTTATGTTATGGGTCGTACATCAGGATCACACAAGAATTACACATAACATACGATACATTAGTTTGATTGCAAAAAACATCTTTGCACAACCATGCAAACACGGAGTTCGGGAACCGCCTCTACAGTACATGTATACATATCTACATCGATGTGTGTGTTTGTGTTTGTGTGTATGCTCTCTCTCTCTCTCTCCCCCTTTCCTTTCCTATATATTATCTCTCTCTCTCTCTCTCCTCTCCCCCCTCTCTCTCTCTCCCTCCTCTCTCTCTCTCTCGTTCTCTCTCTCTCTCTCTCCCTCTCGTCCCTCCATCTCCCTGTCTATCGCTGTCTATCAGTTGTTTGTTGTTTCTCTCTCTCTCTCTCTTTCTTCTTTTCCCTTTGTTCCACCCTATTGAAATCGACCCCTGGACTTCTCCAGGGGGGTACGACTTGCCCAGAATCCCTTGAGAAATTGCCGCGGCGGCGAGGAACCTCCTGGAGGCCCGCAAAGCCAAGAGATTCCGAACAGCTTTCTTGAGCTTGCTCGAATGTTACGACGATCGGTGTAGATCCTCGTTCTGCGATAGACCACGACGACGAGAACGACGACGACGACGACGACGATCGACGACGAGAACGACGACGACGACGACGACGAGAGCGACGACGACGACGACGATCGACGACGAGAACGAGGAGAACGACGTCGACGACGAGGACGACGACGACGACGAGGACGACGGCAGCGGCTTCAGCGGCGGTGGCCGCGGCGGCGACGACGACGACGATCGACGACGATCGCCGACCGGCACCCGCCGCGCCCGGCGCCCAGCCGCGCGCCCGAGCCGCGCGGCAGTGCCGAGGACACCAGAGGCCCGACAGCCAGGACAAGCAGCCGCCGCTGAGCCTCCTCAGCTCCATGGGGCCGGCGACGAGGCTCTCGGGCTTCGGCCTTTCGTGCTCCTCCCCCCTTCCCCTCCTACTCCTCCTCCCCCCCCTCCTCCCCCCCCTCCTCCGCCTCCTCTCCCCGTCTCCTCCTCCTCCTCCTCCCCGCGCTTGCCTCGCCACTCCTCCTTGTGCATCCTCGCCGTCCTCCGTCTCCTCCCCCTCCCATTCCTCCCCGTGCCTCCTCTCTCTCCTCTCTTCTCTTCCTTGTGCCTCCTCTCTCGTTCTCCTCCTCCCACTCCTCCTCGTGCCTCCTCGTGCCTCCTCTCTCCTCTCCTCTCTTCTCGTCTCGTCTCGGCTCGTCTCTTCCCTGCTCCTCTCGCCCTGGGCAGGACGCTGGGGCCAGCGCCTCGAGCAGAGGCGGGCGGCGGCGTTCGCCCCGAGTGGGGCTCCCCATAGGCAGGGCCCAGTCGGGCCTGTCCCCCTGCAGGGGGAAGATCCAAGGATAGTAAAAGAATCGTATGGGGACTATTTTCTGGGGTACTTTTTGGGCATCCTGTGAGTTTTTTTGTTGTTTTTTGTTTTTTGATTATATATGTATGTATGTATATATATATATATA